GTATCAAATGGTGTTCATAAATAGCATTGATAAGAAGTGCATACCATTAAGTTGTTGGTCTAGAGGTCAGGTCCTTGGTTTGCTCCCAAATGGTCTGGGGTTTGACTCTCTCCCACGGCACCCACCTAGCAAATGCTAGAGTTTCTTGCTCTCCAAATGTTGTTGGGTCAGGCAGGGGCCTAGTGATTGGTCGGGTCAAAGACTCGGATACACTAGTGTAAAAAAAAATAGAAAAAAAAAGAAGTGCATGGTCATGTATTATTTTCATAAGAAATGTGTAGTCATATATCATTGATAAGAAATGCATGATATAATCCTGAGGACCTTTTTCACCCTGCGCTGCTTTATGCCAATGCCAGAACAGACACATGATCTAATTGTGCACCATTTTGTTGAACCAATTGCTTAAGAATATAGCTCTTGGTTCAGAATTAATTGGAAGGAGTTAAGCAATAAGGGTCGGTGGATCTACCCGGTCTACTGTTCTGTTTTATATGACATGAAGGCAGATCATTTCTTCCTGATTCAAAGGTCACTAACCATCAAGCACAATATGATCTACAGAATTCTCTTCTCATTCTTCTTAGTGTTTTCTCTTGGCTGATGATAGTATTGATCTGCAGAACTTAGGTGCCAGAGTCCGGATTCGCAGGAACAAGGCTTCTTGTGGATGCCCGATGCTTAGAAAACATAAAGTACAAAAAGAATTCAGGAGCATGATGTCTCAACATGGTGCCTTGGATATTGAAGATCTTGTTGATCTTGGAAAAAGCATGAGGACTTGTCCATATTATGGCTCCCGAAGCATGGTTCCAGTTGCTGATCTAGTGGTTCTACCGTATCAGTCTCTTCTTTCTAAAGCATCTCGCGAGTCTCTTGGTCTCAAGTTAAAGAATAATATTGTTATTATAGATGAGGCTCACAATCTAGCTGACTCCTTGATCAGCATGTATGACTCAAGAATCACTTTGTCGCAGGTATTTAAATTCTGAAATTTTATTCATCAAGTTTGACTGGAAGCTAGTTGATAATCTTTCTATTTCATTTGTGCAAGTGGTTTGGGTGCTCATCAACTGCTTGTCTAAATTGATCATATTATCTAATCCAATGATAGAATACTAGGCAAGGTCAATAGTTTTGTAGTCTTCACTTAGAAGTTAGAACCTAAATTTTCCATCACAATGTAAGCTTTCGGTGTTGACATTATATATTTTCAATGAAAATTGTACTATCTCTTAGCAGTTCTCCTGACGTTTTTAACAGCTGGAGGATGTGCACTGGCACATTGAGAAGTACTTTGCAAGATTTTGCAATGTATTGGGACCTGGTAATCGTAGATATATTCAAACTCTCATGGTGCTCACTCGGGCTTTCCTCCAAGTGTTTCTAAGAGAGGATACGGGCTGCGGAATTTCTTGTCATGATACTGAAAAGGCTTCTGGAGCAAATGGAACGCCTACTTCCTCTATGGCCATTAATGACTTTTTATTTTCCCTCAATATAGACAACATCAACTTGGTCAAATTGCTTCAGTATATAAAGGAAAGCAACATCATGCACAAGGTGAATCCTTCTTCCCATTATATAGTGTTAATTGGAGCTATTCTTCCCCTCTTTCCATGTTCAAGAGGTTACAATGTACTTTTTTTGCCAGGTCAGTGGTTATGGCGATAAAGTAGCTATTCAAAAGAGTTTGGCGCTTAATGGCAGTAAAGAGAGAAGCGCTTTGTCCAGTTTCCAAGCATTAGCAAATTTTTTGCTATCACTGACAAATAAAGATGGAGATGGGAGGATTATAATCTCAAAGACTAGTCCAACATGCCCTGGAGAGGAAGGAGGATATATAAAATATGTTATGCTTACTGGGGATAATATTTTTTCAGAGGTTTGCAAAAAATTCTTAATTCTGGAGTAACTTGTTTTCATAATATAGTATTCATGTCCAAGTTATGAAACATTAACTCTGAACTTCACAGATTGTGGATCAAGCACATGCTGTTGTACTGGCTGGGGGAACTCTCCAACCTATAGAAGAAACAAGGGAGAGACTCTTCCCTTGGTTACCACTGAACCAGTTGCAATTCTTTTCATGCAGCCATATTGTTCCCCCAGAGAGCATTCTGCCAGTTGCAGTTTCCCGTGGTCCTTCTGGTCACACTTTTGACTTTAGCTACAGCTCCAGGAGGTCATCAATCACGGCAAGTAGATTTCAATCTTTTCTTTTAAATAATTATAGAAAGTTGAAAGTTCTCTCTTTTTAGTGCATCTGTAATTTATTGATTTTAGCTACTGTGTCTATTTTTTCTCCGATTTTGTTTTAAATTTTTTAAAACGCAGTTCATTCACAGGGGAAAAATCACTTCTGCTGTCAAGTACAGTAGCACCTTTTTCTGCTTATTACTTTTTTTCTGGGATTCGTACTGGGTATTGGCTGACTATTTATGTTCATGGGCTTGAGTTTACAGATACAGGAGCTAGGGCGTTTGGTTTGCAATTTGGTGACCGCAGTTCCTGAGGGAATCGTTGTCTTCTTCTCTTCATTTGACTATGAAGGAGAAGTTTACAATGCCTGGGAAGCTTCAGGTATCCTTGAAAGGATTAAGAAGAAGAAGCGTCTATTTCGAGAACCTAGGAAGAGCACACATGTAGAATCTGTTCTCAAGGAATACAAGGAAACAATTGAAACATTGTCTTCTGGAGGGGGGGAAGAAAATCCTTCTCAGAGTGGCGCAATACTTCTTGCTGTCGTCGGTGGTAAGATATCAGAAGGCATCAACTTAAGCGATGGGATGGGCCGGTGTATAGTCATGGTTGGACTGCCCTATGCTAGCCCTTTCGATATTGAGTTGATGGAGAGGGTGAAGTACATAGAAGGGTTGGGAAACTCAAATTCCACACAGCTGCCAAATCTTTCACTTAGTAATGAACTTCACGGTGGAGAAGTATGTGCAGGGTTTGACATCCTCAGAAGTTGCAGACGCCGAGGAAAAGATTATTATGAGAATCTTTGCATGAAGGCTGTAAATCAGTCCATCGGTATGTCTTATTACAAGTTCAGTTCTTCCATACTTCAAAAACATAGAAATCTGACCAGTCATTTGTTAGCGATGTATACATATTGAAGTTTTTCTTTGCCTGTAACAGGTAGAGCAATCCGACACATAAATGACTACGCAGCAATTTTACTAGTTGATATGCGATATGCAACTGATTCCTCAAAACGGAATTCTTCCCATCCAACTAACAAGCTTCCAAAGTGGATAAAGGATCGCTTCGTTGCTTCAGCTGATTACGGTGAAGTTCATAGGATGTTACATCAGTTCTTCAAACATAACAAGAAGAAATGGCTTCAGCAGTAAGTTTCTGGTACTGAGAAGTGAAAAAACAAGGGTTTACTCAGTAAATCTTACAAAATTATAGTTTTCACTTAATTGTATGATGCACCAATTATTGTAGAGCCATCATAGAGCAAATATAGGGAGTGAAGAATTATGTCAAATTATACCTCAGTTAGTTACGAGCATTTATCTTTGAACCTGAAATCCCAAGTTCGATTCTCCAACCCCAAATCTCGCTTTTGTATCAAAAAGAAATTATGAACCCGAATAAAATCCTAAAAATATATAATTGCATGCCTTTAGATGAAGCTAGGAAGGTGTGCGCATTAATGAGGGGACCTAACTCGTCATGTTGAAGTCACAAACTTATGCCTTTTTTTTTTCTTTGACGAGAATCGAATTTAAGACCTCTCACTTACAAATGAAGAGGGATACAACAAGACCGTAGTGTTAAGTGGCACATACTTATGCGTTTAGCTTGTTAAAAAAAGGCCAACACCCTTTATCATTTCCAAACTGCAAAAGGGGGAGGTTTTGGCTTTAAAGCACTGCAACTGTGAGAAAGTGACTTGAGTCTGCATAATTCCAAATGCCATCTTATCTTCATATCACCAAAACATGAAACCAACTTGCAAACGGGGACCATACATCACCTCATGCTTATATCTTTGGAACAAGGTTACTCCAAATTATTAGGCTTTCAAGGTATACCTAATCCTGGATTAACTTGCTAATGACAAGTAATTGACTCTTGAATCTTAATCTAGAAGAAATGCTAGGATCAGTTGCGCATGTGCACGTACATTGATCTTAATCATTCGTGTTTGTGGAATCCACAAAGCAAGAACGGCAAGGCCTAGTCTGCGTGCACGTGCCATTGATCGAAGTCTTGATTACCTTTATATATACAACACATTATTGAATTTAACAGCTGAACATAAAACGAAGAATTTCACCAAATAAACAGATTTGATTAATGTATAGGAGTAATGGTAGTGTTTGGCACCAATGCCATATATGTTATGAGTGGGACACACCTATGTGATGATCGACAAGGACCACTTGGTCTATGGGGCCACATCACACATGGGTTAAAAAAAGAAGAAGAAATCTAAATTTGGGTAACAGACTAAGACTATTTAAAATTTGCTTTAACCTTACTAAATAACAACTCTAACTTTAGGCTTTACACTTTAGCCTTTGCATCTTAATGAATGCCACTGCACTTTATACAACAAGGAGTCAAAAATCATGATAATTTTGGACCCCAAAGTCTCCATTCTGGTATTCCCACTTTTTTTGTAACTTGAATCAGTCTTCTAATCACCATGGAGTGACTCGGTGGTTAAAGACGAATTTCAGACTCGTATTTCACACAACACGTTTTGAGTTCGATTTCTGGTGCTGATGCATCACATGATGATGGCTTGGAAGAGGCTGAAATACCTTTGTAAGGTTTTCAAACTCCCGAAATGGTGGACTGATTGTGGCAAAGCTACCAGTTCCAGATGATCCTTTTTTTGAAAACAAAAAATGTCTTCATTAATTAACCTATTTATTTATCCATCACCAACTAAATTGCCAAACTTCAACTTTTTCAATCTCTAAATAAGCAAGACCCTTCTCATCTGTGATCTTACATATTCAGTTAATCACTAATTTTAGGGGAGAGAGAGAGAGAGAGAGAGAGAGAGAGAGAGAGAGAGAGAGAGAGAGAGAGATGAAGGCAAAAGAGATTGGAGTTTTGTCTGTCTTTGTAGACATGAGGGAGTGAGGCAAAGAGATAAACAAGTATTTCTGTACTTGCAGAGCCAGAAATGGTGCTAGGAAACACCATTGCCAAAAGCAAAAAACTGTTTCGAAAAACTCTTGGGAACCTCAAGTCCTTCTTCTGTGGAGGGTACAAGAAACTACCCAAAACCATTTCCTTCAATCCCTTCTATTGTGGGAGAGACCTGAAATATCAGCACCCAACAGATCACTTCTACGCCGATTTTTATGATGAGTGGGAGTCCACTCTCGGTAATGTGACGAAGATAGATAGCGCGCCGGAAGAACCAACAAAGGAAGAAGACCAATGTAGTCCTAAGAAGATCAAACAAGAAGGGGGATTAATGCAGATGAAGCAGACTGGGAGTTCTCATCTACAAAAAGGAGAAGCTCGGGCATCTTCGCAGAACGCAAATGCAGAAAGCTATACTTTAGCAAGAAGGATGAAGGAGTTTGAAATGGTGGATTCAGGTGATGTGGAACAAGTGCTGGATGTAGAAGAGGCGCTTCACTACTACTCCCGCCTCAAAAGTCCGGCCTACCTTGACATTGTGGACAAGTTCTTCTTGGATATGTACGCAGACTTCTCCATTCCACCAGCGCCTATCAGCATCAACAATTCAAAGCGGAGACTGAGCTCGCAGAGACTTGGCTCGATGAGGTTGTAGACGAATGTGTTAGTGAGTTTTTCGTTGTGCAGATAGATCTGTTGTTCTTTCCCACATTTTGTTTTCATTTCCTGTTTGTGTGTGATTATTGTGTGTATTCAGTTTTCGTTTTCACTATTTTCAGCCTTCAAACACTTCTTTGAATCCAATACTGGTTGTTTGATAATCTCTCATCAATGAATGCGGCTTAGTTAATCAGATCCATGAATTAAACGAACTTTTGCCACAATTTAAAACAATTTCTTAGTCTGGAAGCACAAACAACGAGCAAACAAGAAAAACAAATCAAGTATATTACAATTGGAACATGTCTTATCATACCGCTTTTGAACAATTGAGCCGGATCTGACCCATTGGTGTTGTCAAGACTTGGAGGTCCGAGAGCTTCATCATTGCCATTCCTGCCTCCTTGGATAAGGGTTGCTGCGAGTTTATGTCGAGTTGGGATGGTGCTCTCGTTGATGACACAAATCCGTAAAAAGGAGGTTTTTGTGCTGAAGCAGGTACCGAGTGACTGTTGTTGCATCTTGATCTCATGAGGTGAAGGAATTCAACATCCAACGATGGGTCAGGCTTATGAGTACCACTAAAATTGTAGAGACGGTTTTCGAAGAATTGGCAGTGGATCATTCCAATGCTGTGAGCACCTCAAACCAAATAGAGGAAACAAAGTCTTGATATCTTAAGCGGCAGCTATTAGTTTTGAAATGGAAGAAGAGAAACAACCACGGTATGACAAGAAAAATGCCAATTCCTACAACTGAACTAGATAACAGCGAAGAAATGAGCAAATACAACTAAGGCAGATACATAAAACAGTAAAACTGATCAACGAAATAGTCATAACTGGTACAGAAAAGCGAAAGAAGGATGAATACTGAAGAGGCTGACAGTTTCTCTTTCATCAAATCCCCTTGATGCAAGGGATGCAAGCGTCTGCGGCAGATCATCTTCCGGAGAAGGAAGCGCATATGTTGCAAGGTCACGGAAAGAAAGAGTGCTGTCTCTCCTTCCAGTATGCGGGCCACCAGCCTGAAATTCATGAACTCAGTAAACCACATTTAATCCATGTCTGTGTGTATGTGTTCATGAACGCGCGTGCATGTTTGAGAGAGAGAGAGAGTCACCAATGCAACACAATCTCTTGCTGCCAGAACAAGAACATCAGCACAACAAACAACCCCAGGACATGCTTTTTCAAGCTCTGACTTGATCGTGTCGATTACATCGAGAATCTTTCTCAGCAAGCATTCTTCAGTAGAATCCAATAAAACAGAGGCATCACATCCCTTCACAAGATTCAATCAGACACAAAAATCAAAGGAGAGAGAACAAAGATTCACAGGGATCTCCGTGAACACTAATCAATGTTGGATAATTAGGAAAACCCAAATCAGATTTAGCAAGAAGCCGAATACCCATATGAAGATTCAAGAGAAAGAGCAAGAAGACTCACCTGGATGAAGCAGTCATGGCGCAGGAGAGCAGGGGCCACATCAGGCCTGGCTTGGAACAGTTTGTCAACCATTTATCGTACAATTTTCTCGGCTTTTCGAATCAATTTGCAGTAGAAATCGTATTGGTGTGGACGAGAAGTGTCTCGGCTATTGATCATCAGCTTCGTCTGGTTCTTCGCTGACGAGCAAACAGGCTGAGATGGCAACTGGTCTGAGATACCAGAAGATGAATTTACCAAGGGAGGCCATCTAAAGAAGCTTAAACTTCTACTCTCGGTTTCAGCATTTGCAATCTTGAGAGAGACGAAAACGCAGAACCAGAGTATCAGAAATCGAAACCTGAATTTTCCCAGAAAATCCATATCAAAGAGTTGCAGCTTGTAAACGGGGGAGGTTGTTAGTTGCAGGATGCAATGGCCTGCAGGGTTTTAAAACGGAACAAATTGGCGGGTAAAAATAAGGTGAAACGACGAGAATATCCTCAAGATTTTCAGAGTTTGTCAGATTGTTAGTTAAGAACGGCATAATCCCTTCTATGGTTGTTAACTTAAGCCTCATCAGCATTCTCCCTTACACCCGAGGTCCCGAGTTCAAATCCCCCTCCCTCATTATCACTTGTGTAAGAAAAGGCAAAGCCGATGAGGTCATTAGAAGCAAAGTCGGATTTCCGCCATCCCATGAATTACAAAACTAAAAGATGCGCAGAAATCTTGTATGTATAACAATCTGCTGAAGAACTCCAACAAGTAAAAAATGTAATGAAATTACAACAAAATCCAGAACTTTACAGAAGCATGCCCATGTGGCATGGGAATGGGAATCCCAAATTGCCGTAAAAATGGTATGTTTTAAAAGAAAATTGGACAGTAAATCCAAGGAAAACTCCAAGTCCCCTGAGGCCTGGTACAGTTTATCAAAGATTACATGAAGAATTACCCAATCCATTAACGCTATATTGAACACCATTTTGCGATCATACTTTCTTGAACAGCGGCACTTGTTCTAACTATAGTCTGCAGTTCTGCACAAAATCAGTAGCCCGAAGAGGACACTATGACATTGTGTTCCTTTAACCGCTTCTGGAAATGAGCTAACCGATTTTGTAGTTGCAGGATGCCTGCAGCCTTCTGAGATAGAATGGCGTTCAAACGAGAAACGTAGTTGTCCAGCTGATTCCCGGGTTGATCTGCGTCTACCAACAGATTCATCTCCTGCAAATGCATTACACAAGTCAAAACATCATACATGCATAATAAGGTCTTCCAAAACATATCTACAAAAGATGGCATTTTAAAACTCTAGAAACATCGTCCAATTGCAGGCTCTTGCATGCTAAAATATGAACCATGAATTTTATACAATCGCACACATACCTCTTTAACAATAGTCATAGTGTCCTCAACTTGTTTCCGGTGAGCACTTACAAGATCTTCCTCCTCCTGGAAAATGGAACATACCCTTTGCCCGTTAACTCTAGTTTATATAGTGGTTAATCCTATCTGTAGAAATTATAGGAAGCTCATCTCACAAATATTCCTGGTGGTGACTGTTACACCATGTTATCAAATTATTGCCACAAATTTATTTGCCACACCATTTCTAAAATATTCTTTGTCGTCAAGTCTCTTGTTGTTACCTGTAACAGGGCATTCAAATCGTCATCTGAGTTTGAGTTCCTTGAATGAAACTTTGGCAGTTCTGATTTTGTCTGACCATTGGGCTTACGTACTTTGTCCTCCGTAGCTGATACATTGTACTGCTCTAGCTTCCCATTTCTCTTCCATGATGTTTTGGCCTCATAATAAGACTCTTCCGATGCATCAAATTCCTCCTTTTCAATTTGTTCAGTCCATGTATCATTTGTGTCAACTTCATAGGCCGAAGCAGTGGGCAAAGCTGAAGATAGGGGTATATTTGTTGATTCCTTGAAGTTTAGCGTTGAAGGTAACATATCCTTCTTGGGGTTGTTCCCCTTTGAAAGGCTTTTGACCCTAGAATGTGATTTTAATAGCAAGAAACATTAGACGGTGCACAAACGAGCAACATCTACACCAGAATGTTTACTGGTACGAAAATGCATCTCACCTGTCAGCATATCTTAAAGTATTGAGAGTATGTTCACAGGATCCTGAGCTTGGTGATATGCATGATATCATCACAGTACGGGAGTCACCAACAAATGAGTCCCTAAGAACTTCAGTTAATTTACTTCCTCGGAAAGGAATATGACCCTGGTCATTGTCAAGGGCTCTAATGCATTCCTTCAATGCAAGTAAGCTCTTATTAATCTCAGCACCTTCCATTCTGCATTGTATTTTTTTTTAAAACAGCAATGTTAGCTAGAAGTCCACTAATTATCGAGAAAAGAACATCTAAATCTCAAGTGTGACGTATTCATAATAATAATAATAAAATTAAAGATGAAAATCTTATACGTGAGTTGAGTTATGGTACTTTTCATGCACTGATGTGACGTGCCAAAAATACAAATATCTACTATCCCAAAATCATAAAAAAAATAAAAGAAAAGGAGATTACAGATATCATTTCTGACATATTCAATGGTGATTTCTAGTGCTGTATACTACAATGTGACGTGCATAAAAGCGATGTCTTGGCTTTCCTCTGGGATAAAATAAATTGAAGACCTAATGAATTATACCTTGTCTGTTTATCATTATCTGTAGTATCTGCACCACGTTCACTTCCAGCAAGATCTATAAAGGACAGCTTGCCGACCAGACGGGGAGGTTTCTTTTCATTGCCATCAACTGACCTCTTAATAGCAAGCTGAAGTATTGCATGTGAACGAGAGGATTCTTCATTTGCACCAGTTGTACCTGTACTTCTTGTGGCACTTCCTCTCTCAATGAGCTCCTTAATGGTCTCCACATCTGACACTCTGTATTCTTGCAAACCCACAATACAAACCTGTTGTTTACCATCCTCTCTCATGCAAAGCTTTCTGTAAAATTTGAATTGTAAGTTTCAAGTTCAAGAAATCATAAACTCTAAAAAGAAATAACTAGAGGATGGCTAGAATGGCTTACTTTCGATCATTGAGGAGATCAAAAAGTTTTCCCCCATATATTTCGAAGAAGCTCACAAACAACTGAAATCCCTGGCTACGGTATGTATGGTGCATCAACCTCAAGATGTCTCGTGATGCTTTAAGAGGCAATGGCTTCATGGTATATGTTTTTCCACTCCCTTTATGGAAAATTATTACATGTTAAAATTATAATCTTACATGTTAAAGTATAAAAAGGTTGTTTGACAAGTCTAACACAAACATAAAATTGAGAGGGCAACTAACCAGTTTGTCCATATGCAAAACAAGTTGCCTTCGTGCGTTGGAAAATTATTGGAACTATGGGCTCCACAGTCTCATGATATACCTAAAAGCACAGGACAAAAATTGGTATGCTAAGTAGCCTAAAACATATCAAGAGCCACAGTATTTATATTATCTTGTTCATTCAAATTTTGTAACTTTGGTTTTCTATTAGTAATTTAACAGAAATATACACATACTTCATCATTGGAGACTTCCTCATTCAACACTGCATCAAACACAAATTCATGTTTTTCCATGTATTCTGTTAGGTCAACCTGCAGAACATCAGGAATGAAATCAAAGACATAAAAGCACTGGTACAGGAAGAATGATGAGCGAAGTATCAGGTTCAGGAAGTAGAAAGGGAAAATATGAAATGTCCTAAAAGATTACAGGTCATTGGTATGCATAACAAAACATACAAATGAAATATGGATGTCAAAATGTCCACACCACAACCATCAATAACAGCAAGTATGGCTACTTACAATATTTTTCTAATATCTGTTAGAAGCTTCATGTATCTAAAAGGCATAGAGCATCATTCACATTTTCTTGCTTTAGTTTGATCATTTTGCTTAGACAATTACCCGTGGCCAGAAAAGCGACAGGTCTTCATTATTTTTGTTTTTGGCCAGAAAACAGATATTTCTCTGGAAATCTCTACTTTTATTTTCTTTTTATTTTTCTTTTTATTTTTTTTTAGAAGAAACAATAACAATTTACATCTAGTGGCATTTCCAGAAAACAGACATTTCTCTGGAAATCTCTACCGATGCCAACATTCACAACTAGTGGCATTTACCTTGAGCTTAGTCTCATGAACTGTCACGGAGTTTGAAAGTGTATCTATGATATCTTCCTCATTCTTTGCCAACTCCTTTTTATTAAGTGGTCTCTTGCGCACCTGCACATACCATCAGGAACCAAATTTAGAAAAAGACGAAAAAAATGTAGCAGGCCTGACACTACATGAAGTTCAAGCAATTCCTTCCTAACCAAATAAGGCTACTTCACATATATGAGAACTGCAAATCTGGATTGGCAAATGCCTGGTGGCCTTATGGGCATAGCAACATTTAAGGTCAAAAGTGGAAATCACGAGCACTAATTATGATGTTATGACAGAACATACCACAACTTTGATCTTTGCTACAGAACTAGCTTTCTCTTTGTCTGCGGCAAAACTTTTTAGGAGGTTGTTTTCTGGTACCCGAGCCCTTTCTGTTTGTTTGTTATTAGAAATGTAGGGTTCAGAATCATCAAAGCTTCTTCCCCTTGAAGGATAATATAGAGAAGCTCCATCATGCAACCCAGAGGTTGGCATCTGTACGTGAGATACAGAAGAACTTAGCAGGACTATACATCAAAAGTCATTTTTACTAACAATGAAACTAAAATGAAGAAAAACGAATGTCAACAGAACAAAATGAAGTAAACCTCAGCAAATCATTAGTAGTTGGAAATGCAACAAATTCCAATTCATCAAAAGAAAGGAGGATAGTATAAACAAAGAAAATTTTCTTCTTCCACTAACTCACGGTCACATTACTGTAAATCCAAGTTTAACATTTCCGATACAATAGGTGACGTGAATGAAACAGTTAATCGCAAGTTTGTAATAGGACATTTTCAAGAAAATAATTACAATATTAAGATGCAAAAGCAACAATGCAGGGGCACAGACACATTTCCAAATACGGGATCATAAAACCCAGAGCCGACAAGTGCAAT